TACATGGACGACATAAAACTTTATGCATCCACACAAAAACAACTTCATCAACTCCTACAAATCACACATTCATACACCAAGGACATACAAATGTAGTTTGGCTTAGACAAATGCAAAAAACTACACATAGAAAAAGAATCCTGAAGAAAGAAGATTTTGCACTTGGAAATGGAGACGTTATTGAATCCATGGAAGAGGGCAAGTTCTACAAGTATTTAGGATTCGAACAGGCCAAACTAACAGAACATACACAAATAAAGCAAAGATTAATTAAAGAATACCAAAGTAGGTTAAATGCCATTCTCAAAACACAGCTAAATGCAAAACACACAGTTAAAGCAATAAACACATATGTCATTTCGGTACTCACATACTCTTTTGGAGTTATACATTGGACTCACACAGATCTCGAGCAACTCCAAATGAAAACAAGAACAACACTAAGCATAAACAACATCATCCTAAATCCGCTACAGAAAGATTAACCCTTCCACGTAAAGACGTGGCCTGATTGACATAGTTAACCTTCACTACAAACAAATACAGTCACTGCGAGAGTTTTTCTACAGGAAACAAGAAACATCACAATTACATAAAGCAGTAACTCTAGCAGACTCAAATAGCACACCATTAAACTTACACTCACATCACACAGACATGACACAACACATAAAAAGCAGAGACACCATCAAGCAATCATGGGCTCGAAAGGCACTCCACGGCAGGCATCCTTACGACCTGGCCCAGGATTTTGTTGACAAAACTGCATCAAACAGCTGGTTAGATCAGGGATGTCTCTTTGGGGAGACGGAAGGATTCATGAATGCCATACAGCATCAGGTTATAAATACTAAAAACTACAGAAAACACATACTCAAAGATACAATATCACAAATGACACATGCAGAAAGTGTCACATCATGCCAGAAACTATACAACACATTACATCTGGGTGCAAGCTCTTGGCACAGACAGATTACTTACATAGACACAATCAAGTAGCAAATATAATACACCAAGAGCTTGCAAAGAAACACAAATTATTAGACATTCACAAACCATATTACAAGTATATTCCACAGACTGTATTGGAAAACACACACACAAACTGTACTATGACAGAACCATAATTACAGATAAAACAATTTATCACAACAGACCAGACATCACACTCATTGACAAACACAATAAAATCACATACATTATAGACATAGCCATTCCAAACACTCACAATGTACAAAACACATGCACAGAAAAAATTAGCAAGTACACAGAACTCGCCCAGGAAATAAGGCATCTGTGGAGGATGGATAGGGTGCTTATTGTACCTGTTGTTCTCTCCTGTACAGGTGTGATACCCCACACACTACACAAAAGCCTGGGAACATTAGAAGTGAGTAGAAATACATACATAACACTACAGAAGGCCACTATATTGAATACATGCCACATTGTTAGGAAATTCCTGAATACAGACACTGACACACTTATTTAATTTTAGTTTTGTTTTGGTTGCTATGCCTTAACTCTGGTCCGACATAGTACACAGCCACCGGTGTGAACCGAGTAAAACCCACTAAACCCAACATAATAATAATATGGAGCCATTAGACTTGAGCCTTGTTTAATGTTAAAAAAAAAAATCAAAAACAAAAAAAAATGTATAGATTTGTAGCACTGTACACATCTAAATTTAAAACATTCTACATAGCAGTTTTTTCCAATGTATGTTATAGTTTTTTTTTTTTTTTTGTGGAGTTCAGTTTTGTCTCGTAATTCTCTTTTTGCCCTGAGAGCACTAACAGGTCATGCATGATATATTTAAAAAAAAAAAAAAACAGCAAAAATGAAATAAATGATAAATTGAGGAAGGAGAAAAGCTACAAACTTTTATTAGCATTGCCTGGTCAGTAATATATATGGTTTCTGATTGCTGACTCAGGTTTGATTTTCCCTTGTTTTTTTTTAAATGTAAAAAAAACTTATATATTAAATTTAATTGAATAAAATAGTTTTTTTTATTTTTTTTTATTTTGTAGCAGTTATAAATCAAGTAAAGTTTAATTTAAATATATTAGTGATAAATTTTGATGCACATTAAATAAATCATATGAAAAGAAAAAATAATTAGATACAACTGTATTTGCATATTATTCACATTTATTATTCACTGCCTGTATATGTTTTAAAAAATTTAGAAAATTTAGTTGTATACTGTACATTACTTTTAATTTATCTTATTGAATATTTCTTAGGTCTGTACAATACAGTCGACCCCCCCCATAACACAGTAGATACATTCTGCTTTTTATGAAATTTATGTTCTACGAGTCCTTAAATACATGAGCCAATCACAGCCCAGCATGTATGCAGTTTATGGACTACGGCTGTTTGAAAGGTTTTTTTCCATAAAATTAATCGATTGTAGACTAATTTGACTCAACATTTCCAAAACATGTATAATTTTTTGGGAATAATCCATATAAACTATGCTATAAACAAAAAATTGTATGATTACTTACCGAGTGTGCACCGTTCGACTACGCCATTGCTTAAGCTTGTTTTTGTCGTGGAGCAGCGCACCAAATGGCGATTGTGTTTTCTGATAAGTTATTTTTCTGCGAAAACTTTGCTGAACTTTGGAGACATCATTAATATAAATATAATTTTTACGGACGTTAAATAATAAATGGTTTTTAGTAGGTCCGCTGCTCGTTTAAACTCAATGGTTTGTGCAATATCCGCTATTGGTCTAGATTTGACTAATCTTGTCACGACATGAGTTGCCGATGACATTTCACCATATCATACGAGTTTCTTTTAGTGTGTTTATATGAATACCGTCGCAATTTTTTCACTGCTATATACGAATCCGCATTATATGAACCCATTTTATAGGGGGTCTACTGTATTTTAAACTTGTTTGTACATCATAATAAATTTTCATATATTTACATATGTCTTATTATAAATTTTATGAGTAATTTTATTTTCAATTTGTAGAATGAAAGTGTTGACGTTACAAATACTAAATCAGGAAAACCTACAAGAAAATCTTTAGTTCCTGATGTAAGACGAACAAAATCTCAAGGTAAAAGCAAGATATTTTCAAAAATGTGTGTGCACTAAAATATAACTTATCTGTTTAACTAATATAATAAATGCAAGAGCCTTTTTTAATATTTTGTATTTATATTATTATATAATATACTAATATAATATTTATAATTAGGATTTAAATAGAAAATCCTCTTCAAACTGGACAGATCTGTTAACACAAAATACACAAGAAAGGGAATCTAAATTAAATCAGATATTATGTTTTATTCTGATAAACTTTTAGTCTAATTCTGTTTGTTTGATTCAAAATGTACTTACTCCAGCAATTTTCAAACTTAGAGATATCTTTTGTTTTATAAGAACATTCTTGTAGAGTTTCACTCTTTTTGTAAAAGCATACTGTTTACAATTATATTTTATTTTATTACAATAAAATTTTTAATTTATTATTTTAAACAAACCAAAATAAAAGTGTGGCAGTACACCATAATTTTGTACATACGTGCTAGTCGTAAGCCTAATATTAATTATTCAATCTTGCATTCTTTGTTTTCCTATTTCTCAATCTTTCTGTTCTTCACTTCCTTATCGGTAGGGGGCAGCACTGTTCCGAGAACGAGGTGAGAAGAATAAAGAGAGAGCACCCCGAGGCATGTGGGGTGAGGAGATAACGGTCATTCTTGAAGGGGACTCAAGAGCGAGCGGACAGTGAGTTAGGAGTTCAAGATTGTCGTTACAAAGAACATAAGGACGATGAATTGTCTATCCAATCGAGAGAAGAACTGAGTATATTCTGGTCAAGAAATATATATATCGGCAAACTAGAACACAGTTTTCCCCCCAACTGGAAGACATCAGAACAATACAATATCCTGGGTACCCTCTACTCTATCTTTTCTATATATCTAAATATCTGTACTATTCTATCCTTATTCCATTATTTTGTCCTAGTTTTTAAGTTAGTTTATAATCTTAGTAATAGAAATTCGAGTAATACTTCATTGTACTCCATTGTCGCAAACTCGTCTCTGTTGCGTGACACCAAGTGCATAAAGCCTTTGTTCCCTTATTGTATGTGTGTGAGGTCCAGAGTTGGGATCCAAATTGTTTACTATACAGATACCCTGCAAATAGGTGAGAGCCTGTGTTGAATTTTATTTTTTGTCGTAAATAAACTTTGTATTTGCATATATATTTGTACGTGTTGCCCTTTCGGGAATCCATGCACATATGATTGTTTTAACAATGGCATCCACGACAGGATACCTGCTCTGACCTCACTGTGTGTAAACATCATTGTTGTTATTTCAGAGAGTATTTCTCTCACGCTGATATTAATGTTTTTTTGTTGAGGCACACGTGGTGATTATTTAGTATGGCTAATAGTACTCTGGTAGAGAGCTCAGTTCAAAACAATGGAAATAACGGTAACCCATCATTCATTGTGACCAGTTTTCTCAGGATGATCCAGATGTTTTCAAACTCTCCCAGTGACTCCGTTAATATAACTCAATTTTTCCAAACTATAGAAAACATAGCTCACTTTGCGGGGTGGAATAACGTTGTGAAAATTGCTGTCTTACAAGCCAGACTAAAAGGCAAGCCCTTGGGTACTTTTTTTGCTTACTGGAACAATACCCACAATCCTATGATGAAATTAAACGGGACTTGATAAAATGTTTTGATAAGAGGAAGACAGGAGGGAAAAATATAATTGATCAGTTACTAAGTCTAAGGCAAGGGAATAACGAACCTGATACGATTATATTATATGTACTAGGACTCTTCTATCTCGCGCTATTAATGATCATTACGAGATAATCGCTCTGCGTGACAAAATTATAATGGAGAGATTCATGAAGGGGTTGTGCTCTCGTATAAGGGCCAACATGATGAGACGATCTCCCAAATTTCTTGATGAGGCATTCGAAATGGCAGAATTAGAAGAAAGGATTGAAGTCGAGTGTAACAGTACAAATCAGCCTAGAGGGGTTTATACTGTGATGGGCGAGGACGATGAGCTTGCCTGTAATAAGAACGAAGTCGTTACTCATCAGGGAGACTGTGAAACTAAATTAGATAAATTAGAAAAGCAGATTGAGGCTCTGATGGACGTTGTTAACAGACTTGTGAGTGTTCATGACAGGGAGAATACGATCAATAATAATAAATGTTTCAACTGTGGACAAGGAGGTCACTTCACCCACAGTTGTCCGGCACGTGGTAGTCGTAATTTAAACACATAGAGGAGCACTATGATGGCCAGTATCGTGCTCTGTGCATACAGTTAAATCTGGCAAAACAAGTTACTCGCTCTGTGAGTGGCCTTCCCATCATTAGGGGTAATATAAATGATTGTGGTCTTACTTTTCTTGTCGATACAGGCGCAGAAAAGTCTGTGTACTAAGCTCTGATGTTGTTAAACAGATGCCCCATACGTATATCAGTCACGCTATTCTCGGCAATGATGGAATGGGTATAAGAGGGATAAATGGTATTGTTAGTGTGAAAAAATATTATGCTGTACCATAGTGCATGGTAATGATTTTCATGAAACTACCATTGCTTGTATGGCCCTCCCTGACCATTTCGAATATAGTGCAATAATTGGCATGGATGTGATAAATAATATCCCTGCGATCATTGATGGTATGAGAGAGATGGTACATAACGATTCTCATAAGAGTATTAATGCCCACATATCCTGTGTTGTTTGTGTTAATGATACTCCTAAGGTGACCCAAGATCTAAGTCACTTCGACTCTCATAATAAAGAAAAACTTTATGGCATCTTAAATAAACACCCTGAATGCTTTGCCACTTCTATAACCGAATTAAAAGGCACAACAAAGTTTCCTCATAAACCCATTATCGAAGCTACTGAGCCGGTCCATACCAAGCAGTATTGTATACCAGATTGCTATCTGAAAGAACTAAAAAACATGTTAGATTCATATTTAGAGGCTGGCATCATAGAGGAGAGTTCCTCTGCCTGGAATTCCCCCATTTATATCATCAAAAAAGGATTTGGGCGAGCTTTATATGACCTTAGACGTATTAATGAATTTACACTCTCCCAAGATTTTCCCATAGCAAGGGTCAATGAAATTCTAAGTAGACTCCATGGAAGCCAGTATTTTTCTGTTTTAGATCTAAAATCAGGGTATTTTCAAATCACCCTTGACCCCTCTATTCAACACATATTTACTTTCTCCATTCCTTGGGGAAAATATCAAATGTTCAGGTTACCCCAGAGAGCTAAAAACAGTGGTAGATATTTCCAATACGTCGTGTCAAATCTCTTGGGTCATTTCCTGGGTATCACTTGCTATGTATTCCAGGACAATGTTGTCTTATTTTCCCATACACTCGACAAAGTTCTGAGCATTCTCTATAGCGCCAATTTAAAATTACATCCTAAAAAAAATAAATTAATTATGAGCGAGGTGCGGTACTTAGGGCATATGATCGATAAAGACGGGATCCTTCCTGATCCTAAGAATGTATTTGCCATTACAGATTTAACTCTCCCGGAGAATGTTAGACAAGTACGCGCTTTCCTCAGGATGGTTAGTTTTTTCGGGGTTTTATCCCAAAATTTTCTGAGTTAGCACTCCCTTTAATTGAACTAACAAAAAAGGGGAAAATATTTATTTGGAGTGAGAAATGTCAAGCATCATTCGATAGATTTAAGACTATCCTCACGAAACCTCCCCTACTGGCTCACCCTGATTTTAACAGCCCATTCAGTTTATGCACAGACGCTTCCGACAAAAGTGCTGGGGTCGTATTAGAACAGTTGAGAGATGGGAGTTTCATCCCAGTAGGTTATTTCAGCAAAAAATTATGTGGGGCTGAGATAAACTATGCGATGGTGGAGGAGTGTTTATCTATTATAATGGCACTACGCCATTTCAGACCATTGTTAAAACAATCAAATGTGCATGGATCCCCGAAAGGGCAACACGTACAAATATATATGCAAATACAAAGTTTATTTACGACAAAAAATAAAATTCAACACAGGCTCTCACCTATTTGCAGGGTATCTGTACAGTAAACAATTTGGATCCCAACTCTGGACCTCACACACGTACAATAAGGGAACAAAGGCTTTATGCACTTGGTGTCACGCAACAGAGACGAGTTTGCGACAATGGAGTACAATGAAGTATTACTCGAATTTCTATTACTAAGATTATAAACTAACTTAAAAACTAGGACAAAATAATGGAATAAGGATAGAATAGTACAGATATTTAGATATATAGAAAAGATAGAGTAGAGGGTACCCAGGATATTGTATTGTTCTGATGTCTTCCAGTTGGGGGGAAAACTGTGTTCTAGTTTGCCGATATATATATTTCTTGACCAGAATATACTCAGTTCTTCTCTCGATTGGATAGACAATTCATCGTCCTTATGTTCTTTGTAACGACAATCTTGAACTCCTAACTCACTGTCCGCTCGCTCTTGAGTCCCCTTCAAGAATGACCGTTATCTCCTCACCCCACATGCCTCGAGGTGCTCTCTCTTTATTCTTCTCACCTCGTTCTCGGAACAGTGCTGCCCCCTACCGATAAGGAAGTGAAGAACAGAAAGATTGAGAAATAGGAAAACAAAGAATGCAAGATTGAATAATTAATATTAGGCTTACGACTAGCATGTACAGTGGAACCTCGGTATATGTCTGCTTTAGAATACGTCCAATTCGGAATACGTCCTGTTTGGACGAAACAAATTTTGCTCGGTATACGACTTTTGTTCGGTATACGACTTAATTCAATTATAAGCGCCATCTATGAACAAGTAGCACTATCGGTGTACTAGACCAGATTAGACGTTTGCGGTGCCACTGTTTATAACTTTGTTAAATTTCTTCTGATTTTAATTTGTAAGTAACATTTTATTATTTTTATTAATCATGAATTGCAAAAAGGCAACAGAAAAATAAACAAAATGGCAATGGAACTGAAAAAAGAGATTGTTGAGAAATATGAAGGTGGCACGCGTGTTCGAGATTTAACTGTT